CATAGAAATCTTCATTTTCTATGGCTAGCACAGGGATGCACCCAGTAAATATAGTCAACTTTTGCTACTAAGTGTAGCCAATTTGGGGAAAATAACCCCTTAAGTTTTGGACTAGTAATAAATTGTCTTCTAAAACAGTAATTTAGGGAGGTTAAAAAAGTTTTAGGGGGCCGGAGAAATAGCTCAGTAGAATAAGCACATGCCTGGCAAGTGCAAGGGCCTGAGTTCAATCCCCGTTTCTGCCAAGAAAAAAAAATTCTAAAAGTTTTATGATCATGTAGGGGACTTTACTTTGCATAAATTACCAAGGGTCAGAGTTGGCGTTTATGGGTTGCCATGGAAAAAAAGTGGTGACCAAGATTGGAAGAACTCCTTTCTGTCTTTCCAAGGAAAGCAATATTTCTCTTGGAAGAATCCTGACCACTCAGGATGCCTAAGGGCTCTACAGACTTTAGCACAGTAAACCTAGAACAGGTTAAAAAGAAAAATGCAAAAGATTAGTTGATTGAATACCACCATCTTTTTCCAGAAGTACCCACTTCACTCATTCATCTGTCCATCCATTCATTCAGGACTGCTATGCTTTAAGTGTGTCCTCCTAAAGTTGATGTGTGGGAAACGTAAGGTGTGTGAAATAGGGCCCTTGGCAGGTAACTAGGATTAGACAAAGTCGTGAGGAGGGGCCACATGCTGGGAAGAGTGGCTGTAAAGGGGAGGGGAAGGAAGACTGGAGCTGGCACACTTGCTCCTTCACGTGATGCCTGTGTCATGTCACCTTGTAGCAAGGAGGTCATAGGACGTTGGCATCAGGCCCTGAATTTCACAGCCTCTACAACTAAAGGAGTTTCTTTTCTTAATACATTTTCCAGTTTTAGGTATTTTTTATAGGAACAGAAAACAGACTAAGACAATCATGTTTTGCTTTCCTAACTCCCAGGCATTCAAAATAAGATGAATTCTTTGCCCTTGCAGACTTAGTCTTCTGCTGGCCTAGTTCATAGTCAACAAAGAATTTTCAATACAGTGGAGAGAGGCAGAGCAGACTAAGGAGGCAGAGAATGAAGGCAGCTTTGCTGTGGGAGTGGGAAGGCGTAAGACAGTGGCATACTACAGCTTGCACCTGATGGTGTTTCAAAGGCCTGTGTGGGGTCTCCAGTGTGATACTTGTGGGACAGAGTGGCCCCAAGCAAGGAGGCTGATTAGTCAGGGATTGAAATCTCATAAACTGTGAGTCAAAATGAACCTTTACTGTTCTTAAGTTGATTTAGCTCAGATATTTTTTCTAACACTAGATGGTTGACTACTGGGAAGGTGTTTCTGATGAGTAACACTGATGCTCTGGGTAGCTAAGTGAGGTGGCAGCTACCACAAGACAAATCTTCCAGGTAGAATAAAAAGCAAACATGCTAATATCCTCGACAAAGTATGTTTGGCAATTATGCCGAGTGATGAGGAAACCCCTGAGATATAATGGAGACAACAAAAGGGATGCAGGACAGGAGGAGCAGGGCTGGCCAAAGAACTGGGGTCTTTCTTGCCACCTATGATGAGAAGCAATGGTGTATTCACTGGGCATCTCATTTCTGAGTTTTAGTGCCCTTGGTAATGGTAAATGAAGATAAATGCTGGACATAACACACCAATATGGTGCATAGAGGATTCTTGGAAACGCTACTGTCTCACATGCCTCAGAAGAGTTAGCTGAGCTCGTTAGCATGTCCATCCTCCCTACCCAGGGCTCCAGGCCCTGCTGGTAGCTGAACTCTGTGGAATTTCTCCTGCCATGGTAGACTATGTCCTGCCAACCCCTGACTCACTGCTTGGCATCTAAGAGTGGACTTAAATACATCTTCAGAACCACTATTTGATGATCCAGATGAAAGATAGGGCTCTTTAGTCTCTGGAGTTTCCCTTTGCTTGAAAGTACTGTAAAGCAATTTCTCCAGGAGATGAGAGGCAGCTGCCGTGGAACACTGGACATCTTTTGAGGCTGCCATGTGTGAGCACGGACGATGTTGCCCTGTGGCTGAGGAGACCAGAGGCTGGCTGCAGAGGGTGGAGGAAACAGGGTGCTCGGTGGAGAGAGACCCTCCCGCCCTCCTTCTGCTTGAGAGGAGCAACAGGGAATCCTCTGATGTACTGGCAGGGCTGCTCCTTCTTCCTGCCTCACTTTCTCATGTACAGAGGGACCTGAGTCTTTAATAATCAGGTATTCATTCTGTCATGTGGTTCTTTAACTAAATGTGGGCATCCACACAGAAAAGAAGTGCCCAGAATCCCATCCCCTTGTTAAAGGTCTCCATGGCAGGAAGGACTCTCCTGCCACGTTCTAGCTTCTGCTTAAGAGATCTCTAGAAGCAGACATGCACTCACTAGAGAACCCAGCACCAAATCTCATTATCTGCTTAATAATAGCTGAGTGTCTTTGGGCAAGTTATTACTTTCATTGAGTCTCAATTTTTTTCATCTGAAAAAGTATGATTTCTTTCTTGGAGGAATGCTTCAGGATTGGCAATTATGTATCTGTGTCTTATTTCTTGGCACATAGTAGGCACTTAATTGATTGCCATGACTCGTAGGGTCATTATGACTAATAATTCAAGTCCTGTAACTCTTAGTTCTCTGTGTTACACGTTCCTAGCTTTCCTCAGCATCGAAGTTCAGGAGCAGCCTGACAGTGATGTGTCACCAGAATTAGAATCCTGGCGTCCTATCTGTCAATCAATGCCAGACCAAGGAAGACAAAGGCTGTGTAACCATGTTGCTACTCTCTGCTCTGGGACTTGGTTGATAACCACATTCCCCTGTACAGAATGCAGCCCGGTGTGCTCCCAGAATTCTTCACAGAAACCCCAGCCTCCTCCATCGATGGACAGCGTTTGTCAGAGAGAACATCTGATTCCAATTCTTGCTTGACAAGATGGCAAGGCAGTACTGGTTTCATGTGTGGGAAAGAGGAAGGTCAGTGAGCAAAGGGGTTTGTCGATGAAAGCCAGCACAGTGGTAGGCTGTCTTAGTTGCTTCTCTCCTTGCTGGGACAAAGTACCCATAAAGCACCAGCTAAAGGAGGAGAGGTTTATCTGGCTCACAGTTTGTAGAGGCTTCAGGCCATGGTCGGTTGGCTCCAAGGCAGAGTGGCCCAGCAGAGGGACATCGCAGAGGAGAGACAGCTCATGGAATGGCTGCATGGGGTGGGGGTGGCCACAGAGGGACCAAGGGAGGAGGAGGAGGAGGAGACAGACCCCTCTAGCTCACCCCAGTGGCCTCCTCCTGCAAGCTGGCTTCAACTCCCAACATCACACTTAGCTATAAACTCAGTGTGGACTCATCCTCTGGTGGGTATCTGGCCCCCATGGTCCAGTCACCTCCTGAAAACCCCTTAGATAAACGTTTTGGGGGGCATCCAGATAGGAACTGTGACAAGGGCCCAGTGAGTTCTTCATAGACATCAGTGTTGGGCAAAGGTAGTCAAAGCCTCAGCACCAGAAGTCAGCAGGCCTGGGCTGGACCCCTGATGCAGTAAACAGGCCCTGGCTGCAGCAGGGGCTGAGGGGGACATCCTACCTTGGGCCAGTTATGCACAGTTTAAGCAGATCTGTGGGAAAGATAAAGGTGCCCTGCGTTTACACAGCTAACAAATGACTACAAGTGCAGCAAAAAACCTTAACATTCCTCAACACTCAGGAAAGACATGCACAGGAACCTGGTTGGTCATGTTTTTTTTTTTTTAACATCTAAAGCAACACACACACACACACACACACACACACACACACACTCATACAGTCCTTTCTAATATGCATCTCCAAGTAGTAGTTATTTTGTTATTCAGTGCTTTTTGTCAGGAAAGTAGAAAGAATTTTTTTTTTTTTTTTT